ATTATCTGAATCTTACAACCAAAGTTTTCATCTGATTAAAATGTGTAGAAATCATTATTGTATTCAGTAAATATTAAGTCTAGTATATATCCTAGTAAGTTATAGTATTCTTTACTTTGTTAAGGCACCATCTGTGCAGTCTGCAGATCTGTTGAAGAAAGATGTTGAATCTATTTAATTACTGGAGAGAAATAACAGATTTCTGTGCATTTGTTTTATACGTGCATGAAATTAAAAAAGTTTTTGTCAATTAAGCATCTTGAGGCAGAGGGTGGGGGAGTGGTTCCCTATTTTTGTCTTTTCTTTCTTTGCTGGGAGTTGGCAACCCTATTAGTGAGGTATATGTAATTATAAATTAGGTTGTTTATATTTTTGCTAAGTACTGTTTAGAATACCAGAATAGGGAGGATGGTGAGGTTTAAGCTTATTATAAAGGCTTTATGGCTTTTCCTATAACACCATGGTGGGCCGGTCTGATTCTTTGTCCCAGTCCAGCCCTGATGTTTCTCCCACTGAAAACGTCCAGATGAACAGATGTTACTGTACATCCAGCACTTTAGTAACAGGTGTCACGAAGTTACCGAGTGAAGGCCAGCCTTCCAGCCTCCCAGCCTTCCCTGCAGTCGGGACAAACTAAAAGAGCTATATGCATTTTTTCTTATTTTCCAGTGTTACATCGTACCAGACTTTACCGAGAAACATGCCCAGCCACCGTACCCAGATTGTCCCCCGCTACCCTCAGGGGTACCGCACGCTGCCCCGCAACAGCATGATGAGGCCTGAGAGCATCTGCAGTGTGGCGGGCTCGGTATATGACCGGGCCCTCCATCCAGCCTCCACGTCTGCGGTTAGCACAACAGAGAAGAGGAAATCGATGAGGGATGACACGATGTGGCAGCTCTACGAGTGGCAGCAGCGGCAGGCCTTCTCCAGGCAGAGTCTGGCTCAGCCAGCAGGTACACGTTACAAATAACATCGATTTCTTTCTGCAGTTGTATAAATGGCACCTATGCCTTTTCTGTGTTAGTACCATAGACTCCCTGCATCCTGTCTGCGCTGGATACGCTGCTGCAGTTGTGTTAGTGTTAAATGTTCTGGTAAGCCAACAGTGACACGTTCTCCTGTGCTGTTTGTGCTTCCAGGTGTGGGTCATTACGGCACGCTGCCCAGCATTAAGACCATGGGCAACATCTCCCAGCATGCCGTGGCGCACTCCATTCCCACCTCCCCATCTCACGGCTCTCTGGCTCTGTACAGCACGTTCTCCCCTTCTCGTCAGCAGGTTGCTCAAAATCACAGCAGCTC